CAAAATTACAATGGCACCTGAAAAAAAGTGATTTTATGACCACTTTTCACACTCAGATCCGTTGCAGCATCCCCAGGGTCACATGATCAGAATGTGGACACTTGTCAACTGGCATGTATTTATGACAGTTGCAGTGTCCCCGAGGTCATGCGGTCACCTGTTGCAATCTTTTGACAAGCAAAGTCAATGGGGGAAGCCAGATTCACTTAACAACTGTGTTACTAACTTAACCATTGCAGTGATTCACTTAACATCCGTGGCAACAAAGGTCGTAAAATAGGGCAAAAACTCCCTTAACAACTGTCTTGCTTAGCAACAGAAAATTTTGGGCACAGATGTTGTAGGTCAAGGACTACCCGTATACATTTATACTTGAAGATAGTTAAGCAAATTTGGGGAGTAAATATTTTTTTTATTATCACACTGAAAAGTCCACTTTCTTAAAAACTGAATTTGTAAATCAGGAATAGAGCTCTGCTGGGCCCAATTCACCCTACCTGCCTGCTAAATTAACTGACCTTGCAAACCCTAATATTAATAGCTTTGTCTTGCTTAACTATTTCTTTTAATCCATTTAAGGGGTTCATTTGGCCCATTCCCCTATTTCTGCCATTGGAAAAGCTGAGACTTGGCAGCACATTAGCTCAAAAATGTTATCTTTCTCCATTCTATAGCATACAAATCAATTTTTCCCAGTGGCTTTCTCTGTCTGCCTTGATGATGAAATGGGTGACATTAGGAGGTGCAGCTTTAATAAGATTGCAGAACGATGATACCATTTGGGAAACTAAATCCAATCCCTTCAGCAAATCTAGTTACTCAACTCATACCGTTTCTTGAATGTTACAAGAGATTAACCAGTCCTAGTTAAAAATCTGTTGCTTTACTGCATCTTGAAGAGTACAATAACAAGAATGAGGCTTTGTGTATTTTTCCCAAAATTGCAAACCTTACTCAAACCCCAGCTGTAGCTGCTACTCTAGCCTACCCAAAAATCTTTATAGAAACCTTCACACTACTATACAGATTGTAATAAACTTTCCTGAACAGCAAACAAATAGATTAGTTAATATTAGAGCCTTTGTATCCAATGCAGTTGGGAAATTCTGGACGTAGTAGGGCATTAGCTATAATTCCAACTAATGAATAGTGATGTTTCCCATTTTCCTTATATTTCGCCTCAAAGCCTTAGAGGGGTGGGAGTAGAGTGTCATTGGGAGCCTCCCAAGAGATTATTATAATCAGCAGGCTAATTCTGCTGATTCTCAATTCAACCTTCCACCCTTCCAAAGTCGGTAAAATGAGGACCCAGATTGTTGGGGACAATATGCTAACTCGGTAAATTGCTTAGAGAGGGGCTGTAAAGCACTGAAGCGGTATATAAGTTTAAGTGCTATTGCTATTTTCCTCTTAAAGTATTCTGTATAGAGCAATACGCCTTATCAGTTAGTTCTTGAACAGTTCATTGAATAACGAACTGAAGAGAAGGTGTTTGAATTTCTAGCAGTTCCTACTTAGATATGACTAATTAAGTAAATTTTCTCTTCTGTGGTATAAAATTGCCCCCGAGGATTATTTCTTCAATATTTTTTGATATGATGATAACAAAAATTTCCTCCGTTGTTCAGTCTATGAGCCGTTGTTTTCTGTGGATTCTGCTACTGAGTAATTGGGGAACAAATAGGATGACTAAATAGCTAGCCATCCTTATTTAGCAAGCATCTCTTGGCAAGCAAAGCAGGCTTTCTTCACTTTGTCAGGTTGTTTTGTCTTTTTTGAAAGGGTCACCAGGGAGCAAAGGTTTAGCTCATGCTTGACCTGATAGAGGTATCTGGTTAGTTTGTCCTGGTCATTTTGAAGTCTCAGAAGTAGACACGCATCTAAGAATCCACAGGAATGTGCAGGACAGAGAAGATTTTAAATCCTGATAGCTCACTATGTAGGACAAGACATTGTGCACATCTTCACACCTCCTGCATCTTCCTATATATTACAGGTTTATATTATGAACAAATTCTGTGTAACCTACAGCAGAAGTTTTCAAACTACAGTCTTTGAAGAAAAATGTTAAGGGCCATTTTAAACGCTTTAGCTTTTCCGCTGTTCCATCCATTCTTCTCAGAACAGAGAAAATGGCATAAGCTATGGAAGAAGGAAGAGCTCGCTGTTTTTTTTTCTCCATGCTCTTTTTTATAGATAGAAATTCCAACTTAACCCCCCCCCTCCTTTGCAATTCTCATTTTGAGATCTGCACCTTGGCAATCACATATGGAAAGTCATATAAATGGTTTGCCATATACAATGTTTTCTTTTGCAGTTTTTGACATGGTAGATTGGTGGGATCACCTGTCATCATAGTTTATGTTAAATGTATAAGACGTGACTGTACTACAGTATGTCTTACAAATTTAACATGAACCGTGATCACAAATTAATGTGCCGTCTGTTTTCTAGCATACTAAATTAGAAGTAAGCAAAAATGCCACTAATGTTACCTTGATGGCATTATTATTGGTAGAAGATTCCATTTTGGGGTTTCATCTTAATAAGGAGCTTGGGAAAAGGGCGTGGGAACAACTGACTGAACTCTTGCTAAAACCAATTATTTCTTAAGGTTTATTTATTAAAATAGTGTCAGGGTAATTGGTTACTTGAATGCAGTCAGCAAGTAACAAACATACTGTTGCTATGGTGAATAGGATGCTTCCAGTATTTTAGTTATTTTAGTAATTATTTTAGTATTTATGAAATATGATTGAATGATGATCTGAAGGTGAATTACTTGTGGCAACTGCCTGCATATGCTTATCTAATAAAGAAGTGTTACGCCTGGCTGGGGAATTCTGGTAGTTGAAGTCCACAAGTCTTTAAAGCTGCCAAGGTTAGACACCCCTGTTTTAGCTTGACCTCTTAATTTTGCACTCATTATGCTGCAAATGTATTCTTGTGAAAAGAGGACTGTTAAATCATTGTTAACAAACAAGTTGAGATTTTTCTAATGATCTAAGACATGGGTGTCAAACTCACTGCATCACGCGATGTATCGTGACTTTTTTCGCATTACTGGAGCTGGGGTGGGTGTGGCTTCCGCATGATGCAACCAGCTCTTGGGCCGGCAGTTTGACACCCCTGATCTAAGAGGAACAAGTGATTGATTTTCCCAAACTGCTTTTTCAACTATTTCTTTGTAAAGGAAAAAGACCTCAAGTCGTTATTGGAGAGAATAAAGGCATTAATGCAAATTAATATTCCATTATTCCTCATGCAGTGTTTTACTGAATTCCTCATGCAATTCAAAAGACAGAGCAATGTCTGTTAAAATTAAAAGAGACATCAAACTAATGCATCTCTGAATAACCTTTGAAAGAAAGGTGAATATTATATGTTTACTTCCTGGTTGAACTTTGAATTTCAGGTCTGGAGACTTTAGAGAATTTTCAGATAAAATACCTCAACTTCCATTTGCTGTACTACTGATTTCTGCAACACCAACTAGATATTTAAGTCATCAACTCATTTGCTGCTAGGTCTAAAACTGATAAAAGGATAGACCTGTAATGTCCTTATTTGGTGGCATGTATAAAAACAGAATATCTAATCATTTTTCATGAAAATGATAATAACTAGTAGACCTAATAATGCATTACAAAAATCCTGCAGTTTATATATCCTGAAGAGAGAGGCAATATTCAATATTAAGTAAAGTCTTGGAGCTGAAGTGGATTCTGATACGTAGATTTGATACCTTATTTTTTGTATTAGTAAAGAGCAGAAAAAATTATATTGTTAAAATTGATCCAGTTGCCGTAATCGATGCTATATTGCCAATTTGAGAAAGGTTTCATTCATTCATTGCTTTTGTGATCTTTCTGGATGTTTTTCTTTTAGCCAAACTTGCTAATGTAGAAGAATGTCAACATATTCTCAAAAAGAAATGGGTTAGAAAAGAAACAGAACTAGTGTGTCTCTTGATAAACTACACCAGGGGTAGGCAACCTTGGCTCTTTTATGATTCGTGAACTTCAACTCCCAGAATTCCTGAACCAGAATGGCTGGCTCAGGAATTCTGGGAATTGAAGTCCACGAGTCATAAAAGAGCCAAGGTTGCCTACCCCTGAAATACACAGTCAATCTGGTATTCCTGCTGTGAGTTTCAGTCAAAGATAGTGCATTCCAGTTGATTGTTACACATCCCACTGTTTTAAATGTTGAATTCTGATCTGAGTTGGGTGGCCCAGTGCCATCTTTGAGGTAGAGAAGTGTATCTTTACCTCAGGGATACATTTGTACTTCTGCTAGGTAACTTATTATTTTTTGTGAGCTGGGTATAGTAGACCTGGGTATGGAATCAGTAGAGGTCAGTTAAACCCGGTCACTTTTTCTCCAGCAACCCTGAAAGTAAGAACTGAGTCTTCATTGCTATTACAACGACCTCAGCTATATCAACATTGGAACATGAGTTTTCCCCAAACAATCAACTAATGACTAATCAGCAATGTTGCCTTGAAATGTAGAACAGCCATGAAATTTTACAGCTAGCAGGAAACACAACTTGCTGTAATTCTAGAATCACCCTGAAAATTATATAGAATTTAGTGATAAACATTAAGAAGAACTCCAATGTGCCGTAAGATGTAGGAGTCTGAATTTCTGACTTTTGAAAATTATTCAGCTAAAAACTTTTCCAGCGCATGTTTTAATATTTGACTAGTTTTGCAATATTGCCAGAACCGTTCGTTTCAGAAACCTGCTTTAAGAAAGTATGTACTTAATGCTGTGGTGTTCAACAGGTGAAACTGATATGCTTTCCGCCTCTCCCAGGGGGTGTGCCTGCAAGTTATTGCTTCCAGAGATTGGATGAGTTATTCTAGCATAATTTCCAGCCTATATTTATATGATCCTGTGCAGAACAATCTATAACTACAGCTACTCTCTGAACTTAAATTTCTTCCTTCTGGCTGCCTCTCATTCTGAACATTCATCTCTTTCTGATTCTTCAGATTTGTCAGGATTCATATTTGATGTGCAGTCAAATACTGTGATGGCCCAAGGAGGTACCTTTGAAAATATGAAAGAGAAGGTAAGTAATATCTTAACAGACCATTAAGAGCTGAAAATAATATAGTATTGTTTTGAAAGTCAGAAAGTATGATGACTCCCTCGAAGTATGAATAGTATATGGAAATTGACAATAAGTTCTTAACTTTTCTTGTGGTCCTTTTACTGTGGGAAGTGGTATCTTGCTTCTTCCGTAATCTCAACTATTTATTGACAGATAGCTTGTCTCAGAATAACAGAGTTGGAAGGGACCTTGAGGGTCTTCCAGTCTAACCCCCTGGCCTTATACCATTTCAGACAAATCGTTGTTCAATCTTTTCTTCAAAAACTTCTGGAGGCAAGTTGTCCCACTGATCAATTGTTTTAACTGTCAGGAAATTTATCCTTAGTTGTAGGTTGCTTCTCTCCTTGATTAATTTCCATCCTTGGCCTCCTGTGGTCTCATGGCTGAACATTTATTTTCCCCTTCTTTTTTAGCTGCTATTGATTTGGGGACAAGCTTTTCTGGTCAGACTGTTTCAGAGCATATTGAGTCATAATATTTGCTTTTCAGTGACACCTTAACCAGTGTTAGCTGGATGGCTTTACTCAAGCTGCTGGCTCATATTGCTTGCAACTCTAGTGTAAGTGCTTGAAATGGGTTTAACACCACACACAGGCTGCCAGAGGAAAAATGAATGGGCTGTTCCCAGAGTGAAAACGAAACTGACATCAATTTAGGAGAAAAGAAACTTAATTTTTCTCCTGGGTTTACAGTTGCAAATATTTGTCTGGGAAGTAAATGGCTAACATGTGACCTGTATATCTCATTTTTCCAGATTAGTGCTGTGAGAGCGATAGTCCCTAACCGCAGCAACAATGAGATTATCCTAGTGCTGCAACACTTTGATAATTGTGTAGATCGAACTGTACAGGCTTTCATGGAAGGTAAGTTCTTAGTTCCTATCTGAGATATTTTCTGGCAGGCCTCAAAAACTAAATATGATTGGGGGGGGAAAGCGGTGGGTTGTCATTTAACATGCAATTTTAGTGTAATGCAATTACAGAATGCTAAATAATTATTAAAATATATACATTGCTTCGTTTTCTGATACTATGGTGTTTCAAGTTATATAACTAAGGCATAGGATTTACATGTTTTGCATGATATTTGGAATATATTTTACAAAACTCTCTACTTCAAGGTTAATTATGAAAGAAATATAAAACGTCTGCCCTTCTTATCAGAAACATTTCTAAATTCTATTTTCATTGTTGAAGACTAGAAATGGTTGCCTGGGATGGAGAAAAATGATCAGTGTGCTCAGTTAAAATTCTACTTTAGATATTGAATACTATGTTCTCCAGTAGCAAAGCACATTCACAAATTTTCTCAATAACTCATTCATGCATGTTCACGGGAAGTCCTGGAAACTGAAATTTTCCTTGCCTATTGAGAGACTCAGCAGGAACTACGGTACTTATGAAGTTTATATGCTGCCTTTGGAAGCTCTGAGTACTGCCCCAGAGACACCAAAGATTGTTATCAGATTGTGATTTTAATTGTGACAGGGGGGGGTAACATTACTGTAACATACTAACTTAAATAAAAATGAAATTAATGTTTTTGAGGTGATTTAACACAGTGCTTTTTAGCTTGTGCTGTTAGTCCAGAAAGTGTTGTGCGTCTCTTTTTCTAAACAATGTAATCCTTTTTCATAGCTTTTTTTAAAAAGGTTTCATTCTTAATTCTAAATATGGCTTTATCCTATGACTTCTTTCACAATCTATTTCAGACTTCTGAAAACAAGACTTTCTGGTTGAGCCTAGAATTGTACATTTCATGGCCCAGATTAGGGAAGCATTTGTTCTGAGATTGTTCTGTACTTTTCATTAGGTACTAAAATTAATTGGAAAATATAATTTTAAAAACTGTGTAAGGATGCTACCATTTATTGGCTTTTGACTTAAATAAATTGGTCTTAATGAGGCTTCTGTTAAGAATAGAAATCCTAAAACCTTATCACTATGATACAAAACTACTTTGTCTAAACAGTGTCCTAAAAATACCTATTTAGCAACTTAGCTTTTACTCAATGTCCTGTAGACCAGTATTCTTAAGCTTTTGTATTTTAAATTCCAACAATTATTCTGGAAAACAATTCAGGTGTCAACATAATAGAAAGCAAACTCTTCCCAAGAATACATTACATATTTATAGGCATTTCGTTATTATATTTATTTTTAAGGTAAATTTTAAAAATTTCACACTTCAGTAGCGTATCCTGGTCTTTCCTTAAGAACCACAATCATTCTTTTTTTTTTTTTAATAAGAAAAACAAAATACACTGTCTTCTATCTTCTGACCAGAAAATAAATTCATATCTTTTCTGTCTGTCTGCCATATTTTGATATCAGCGATATAAGCTTACTGTTTTATATTCTATTCTTGTATCTTTATGTTTTGTTATTGTTGTTTTGCATAGCTAAGGAGCATGTGAACCTTAATTATGTGTTTTTTTTCTTAATAGGTAGTGCTGCTGCAGTGTTGAAAGAATGGACGGTAACTGGCAAGAAAAAGGTTAGTTTTGGTTTAGACTTGAACTTGCTTTGGTAGAGTATTTTACTGAATTATAATGTGGCTGTTAATTATTATCTCTTGATATTCTAATCTAGAGGCTTTAGTTCCTCACTCATAGGTCCTTCCTCCCCCACCAAGGATGTAGAGCTGGCATCCCCAGTAAAGCATTTATAAGTTCCAAAGCACCTATAGGACCTTCACTTAGTATCTTTGGGGCTCCATACCCACTTTTAACACTTTTTAAAAAAGTGAGTCTGCTATATAAACGGAGTAGTTGCATGATCTAAATTTACCAATGGATACTGCACATCTTAGAAGACAAAAACTGTTGATGGCTGTAGTCCACTGCTTTGGTTAGAAGTGTGCCCACATAATTAGAAAAAAAAATACAAAAGTAAATTAGGGTGTAAAGAGAGTTATGAAGGACCATTCTCATCTGTTTGTCTTCTGATAAACAATGTTTTGTGGCTGGATGTTCCTCCTCTTCCAGTCATTTTGGAAACAGAAGAGTATTCTGTTTTATTTTTATTTAATACTGTGGTCAGGGATCTCCACCCTGCTGTTACAATCTTGAAATTCCAACAGTACCTGCTAGTCCCAAAAGTCTGACTACTCCAATGAAAAAGAGACATACAGCCCTTGAAGGGGAAAACTTAAAACTCATTGCCAGCCTTTATGGAAACATTTGCAGCTTTTCCTTTATTAATTCTCACATTGGCAACATTAAAAATAATTTATGCTGAAGGTCGGCCTTAGAGCAGGGATCCAAAGCCAATCCAAAGTCATGGCCCATTAGCTCCTGTTCTCCTGTGGCATAACTGAGGTGATGCAACTAGTTTAAGTAAGAGGGAATGACTGTTTAAAAATACCTCTGGGGAAGGGAGAGAGAAGCAAAAAAAATTCCAGTACTTGCTTGGGGATATTAGAGCATTCTGTAACATCAGGTGAGATTTCCCAGAAACACTGAATATATGGTATGTGTTCTAATCTGCCGGATTAGAACAAGGTCTAGCCTGACCAGCATTTTCCATCCTTGTCCTTGTCTGTGGAAAACCCAGGTAAATGCAGGAACATTCACCACCTTCTATATAGATTCTGTGTGCAAAGATTAGTATGGATATATATCCATGATAAAAGTCAAGCATACACTAATTCATTCTGCTTCTTTTAGTAATGTAGAAGGCTTAAGGAGATGTGTGATGATAAGGTCTCACCCATTAATTCTTCGAAACCTGACGCTGAAATTGTCCTGTCTTCTAAGATTTCACAAGGCACATTTTTTTCTGTATTTGTATGGAATTGTGGAATATGCATATTTCTGAGAATAGTCAGCCCTTCTGACTAATTTGGGGTAAAATGCAGCATTTTTAACATCCCTTGGATCCACTCTATATATGGCTACTACACACTGCCCACATGAATTTCATTAATATCACAATCTATCAGTTCTGGCTGTTCAATAAATCCCATCCCACATTTAAGGGATCATCCTTAAGACCTATCTGCTTAAGAATTTAATTCTTTTACATTCGGGCAATAGTAATAACGTTCCATTTCATATCAGGAGTTGAGCTTAGTTTCTTCTCTCATAATGCCGATATCTTAATTCTAGAACAAAAAGAAGAAGACCAAATCAAAACCCCCTGCAGAATCGAGTGTCAACGTTCCTGATTCCAGCAAGCCAGCGGCCCCTGAAGAAGAACAGTCTGCAGTTTCATCAGAGAAGGGTGGGATTAACGGTTACCATGTCAATGGTTCGGCCAATGACACGGAGTCTGTGGACTCACTCAGTGAAGGCTTGGAGACACTTTCCATTGATGCAAGAGAGTTAGAGGAGATTGAGCCTGCTATGCCTGAGGCTCCTGATGGGGCAGGTTAGTTTTTTGTTGGATTGTTATGAAAATCAGAAAGTCTATAAGTAGGAAGGCTTCCTTCTTCCATTCTACTTGTGTAGTGTCTTCTGCCACATTTCATTATTTAATAACCCAACAGTTACAATTTCCCTTCCACTATTCAGTAGTTGCCACAGAAGGAGATGAACCATTCTTTTTTCAAATTGCATTGACTCTTCCCAGTTTCCAAAGAGGGGGAGAGAGGTAGAAATGGAAGCAACGTGACAGTAATTATTATAGATAACTGGAATTTGTACTAAATTATATAATCTGATTTGGAAATCCATAGATTGCATGGGCGGTGAAAGTACTGAAGTGGAAAATTGGGTACCATGTAAATCGGGTGGGCAATTATGGCTACTTTACAACCGTCTACTTCAACTCCCAGAATTCCTGAAGTTTATAGGCTGTAAAGTTGCCCTAGTTGGCAAGCCCTGATGTAAATTCTAGGTAGGCTTATGGTCACCATACAGAGACACCCTAGATCTGTAGTGGTGAACCTATGGCATGCATGCCACAGGTGGCACGCAGAGCCCTCTCTGTAGGCATGCGCACTGTCGCCCTAGTCCTAGGCCTTCAGCTGGGTTTTATAAAACCTTTTCGCTTTAGGCCTCCGCCGCCATATGCAAAAAAAAAAAAAAGGTTCAATCAATCAATCAATTTCAACTTCTCGCGGGGAAAAAAAAGATCTCGCAAAGTTGGAATTGATTGAACTTTTTAGTCCCACCCAGTCTGCCGTTACCACCGCAGCCACGCCCACCCAACGGGCCACGCCCACCCAACGGGCCACGCCCACCCAACGGGCCACACCCACCCGCCACCGGACGATACATAAGTGGGTTTTGGGTTGCAGTTTGGGCACTCGATCTCTAAAAGGTTTGCCATCACTGCCCTAGATAAATAATTTGGGATTCCAGTCTACATAACATTCCTTATCCTATTGTTCTTTTTTATGTCATTTTATGGTTGTGGGATGCTTAGAGTAACCTTTTTTCCCCCTTCCTCAGCATTGTTACAGTTTGAAAATGGAATAACCAACTTGAGTCCAAAATCTGCAAGCACGCGGTCTTCCCAGAATACCCAGCCCCTCAGAGTGCAACCTGAATTGAGAAACGCTGGCAAGCCACTTTCCAGACCTGCTTCCAGCACCCAATCTCCAGCTCTTTCATCCCTAGCAATGCTGGATGAGGTCCCTGTGCCCCCTGGAAACAAAAAACTAGGTAGAATTTACAGATCTATGACATGATTCTGTTCTCTTTTTAGTTTTTCTGAGAAGTTCTTTGTTGCAAAGTAATTACAGGGTGCCAGTTGACATTTGTTTTAACTCTAAAGCTTGTAATTCTTAGTGTATATCTCATTAGTTGTTGTGCTGTGGTGGGTAGTATAGGACTTTGATCCCGTTCAAATCTTGCTGAGTCATAAAAGTTCATTGGGTAACCACGTACCAGGTCAGCCTAACCTTCAGCAGCAGTTTCAAAGATAAGCGAAAAGAGTCTAATCTAGCATTTCAGATATTCCTTGGGAAACAGTAAGATTAAATTAAATGGAACGTAAAATTGCCGCTATTTTTGTTCTGGATACTTAATGTGCAAGTATATGAATATATTTTACTTAAATTTTAAGATGAAGATAAATATTCAGGACATCTCAGTATGATTATCCTTGTTCTGTCCTGACACGCTTATTGATAACCTCTTAATATGCTCTGAACAACGAACCATTTGTCATCATGGGGCTTTTATTGCTTTTTAACATAAGTAATATGTTAGCTGCTGCGCTGGGACCGGTAAATGCAGAGTGGATTCCTGTGGAAGCTGATCGCCATATTCTCTCCTCTCTGATTTCGATCAGTCACTTCACCTTTCCTATTTCAGTATTAAATTGCTGCCACTGTATAATTCTCATTTAGCTTTATGGTGACTTTGCAAAGGGATTCTTAGATTCAAATTCAAAATTGGTACAGATCTGTTCAAGCCTGGTGAGCAATACCTGCTTGCTCTGGGAATAAACGCCTTCACTGGGCACAATACCTCTTTCCAGTTCTGTCTGAATTCCTTTATCTATGTCTATTTGGGTGGCAGAAGAGCTCGTACATAATATATCCTATTAAAGCGGGGAGTAATTTTCAGAGCACATTAGCTCTAGCAGCTAGAGCTACTTGAAAACTGGTTTTAACCGACTTACCAAGGAGCACTGAAAGATTGTAAATTATTTAATATAAATAATGCATCCTTTGAGGCAGGTTGTAGACTACATTTTTGCCTCATCTGGATATGCAAATAAAATGAGAATTAATTGATGATATTTTTTTTCCTCGTTTGGATGTACAAGTAAAATGAGAATTAGTTGACTTAGATTGTTTAGTTAGCTGGCATTGCTCAGTGATTCACTCTGTATATGTGGCGTGCAACCTAGTTTTAGGAAAGTGCACTCTCCCTCGTAATCATCATATTTCTTACCCCAGCTGTGCACTTTTTTTTTTTTTCACGGTGTGAGCCAAGTTTCCAATGAACCTCAGTGGATAAATGAGAAGCCACAGCCCTGGCGGTTTCTTCTTTTAGTTTTCTGTTCTTCCCTTCTATGCCTGTCAGCAAATGAGACCTTCAAAATCCTGATTCTAAACATGGTCATTATCCATGGTTTTGGGGAGGCAGGGACATCTGCCTCTTGGCAGCAGCATTTCAGCGTTTGTGCTTTAACAAGGGCCATAACAAGCAGCTCAACCGAGGGTGAGCACAAGTCAGTAATTTCTGGTGACACAAAGAAGCTTGGAAATGTGCTTCCTTGGAGTCTAACCTTTGCAACAAGTACCTAAATCTTACACCTTGCCTTATAGAGGAAACGGCATTCTCCTGCAGATTTGATTGTATAGGGGAGAGTCAATCTTAGTGTGAACTTTACAGTTTTGTTCCCAATTAGATATTTTCTCTTTATAACTCAATGCTGCTATTTTATTCCTGGAATATTTTTATTTAATTTTTTTTGTAAATAGTTAGCAGAAATATTTGGACGAAATGGCACTCAAAGCAGCATTCTTTGGAATCCCTTTTTCTCGTAATGAACAAATACTTTATGTCAAGCAATTTGTAGTTTTGATAACTATTAGTAAATTTGCAAGGATTACTGACGCTTTAGTATATTGTGTTCTTTTTGGATAGGTTCCAATATTGAAAAATCGGTAAAAGACCTCCAGCGATGCACCGTGTCACTGTCCCGGTATCGGGTTGTGGTTAAAGAAGAGATGGATGCTTCTATTAAGAAAATGAAGCAGGTCTTTGCAGAGCTGCAGAGTTGGTATGCTAATACTTTGAAATCTGGTGTGAGCATGATTTTAAAGGATTTGATTAAGATTAATGCCTTCCAGATTTCCTTTTTTTCCTTCACCAAACTAGTCCTTGCCTGAAGGTGTATATACAACATGATTAGTTGGAGTCATACTAGCGCATGGGTTCATGATCACGTGTTCTGTAAAAAGTCTAGGGATTTTTGTCCTAACTATAATGGCATCTGACTACCAGATTCTGGTGGTCTATATGTTGTTAGGATACAAACTGCTTCCAAATAACAGCTTTATCCCCAAATAAAACAACTATGTATATGGGTAATTTTATGTAGGGAACTCATGGATCTAGCAATGCAACGTTACTAAGAGTAGATGCCTTAAAGATAATCTATAGCATTGCAACATACGATAGTCACTTGTTAGGTTTTCCTAATTTTTTAGAAACTGGCTTATGATTTTGGCTGTGGCTTGTTCTCCAAGCTTGTTTCCATATAGTTTCTGAACGTTTCGTTACCAAACTAGGTAACATCATCAGGATTTCCTTGTCCTATTCTCCTTAGCTTATAAATGTCTTGTGTGCCAGTATGGACAGCTGGTCATGCCATTGGTTGGTTGTTTGGAGCTATTTTTGAATTCTGAGCAGCTGATTGGTTCTCACTGGCTTAGGATAAAAATGGGACAGACAGAGTTTGGAAACAAATGTTCTGCACATATATGCAGGAGTTCACTGGCCACTTGACTTTTTAATAATGAATCCTCATTATGGTTGAGAAATCTATTGCATTTGGATTTCAAATGAACAGGTGATTAAAATAATTTGATTCCCAATTTTCACAAAGCTACAGAATGAACAATACAAATAAAAATTTCTGCTTAATACCAAGTGAGTTTAAAAAAGTTAGTTTAAGTTAGTCTGACCAAATAAATAGAAAGTTTGAGGACAGAATCATTTTCCATGTCAAAAAGCATTTTCATTTTCAAATCTTAACAATCTGAGATCAGGGGGTTTGTAGGCTGACCTAATCTATCGCAGTTCTTGCTTATCAAATCCACCTAAGATTTCTACGCAGCTGAACTAAAATCTTTGCTATTTATCCTACATACAGCCTTAAGAAAAATAATGAAAGCATTTTTTTTAGTGTGGGTTACTTGCATCTGATTTATTTCTCCAAGGATACATATTGGGATTGTAGGCAAAGAAGAATCTTGAAAGATTCCTCAAGCGAAGGCTGGCAGCCTCTGCTGACTTAATATTTAGAACTGATTGCGGATGTTGCCAGCAGATTTATCATTCAGCATTATCCAGCATTCATTTGGATGGTGCTGTTTTCCTACAGATATCTCTTCCTTCAGCATAAAAAGCTAGTGTTTCTTATAAATCATCACCTCCTGGGTCACTCCTCTAATCTTTGCCTCATCGTGCGTCATGTTTTAAAAGGTTAAAGACCTTGTTTCAATAATTCTGCTTGCTGTGGGGCAGAGAAAGGGCAGAAAACAGGAAGTGCAGTTCCGTGACAGAGGGAAATGCACAGCTAGTTTGGAAGTAAGCCAGCCAGAACCTCCTTTAATAAATTCCAGATAAAGAATCAAGGGTTTGTTATTTGTTCTTTCCTGAAAATGGGGTGATTGCCATTCTGCAAATGAGGCTGTGTACCTTCGAACCACAGCATACAAATCCCTTTCTAGTCACTTCTGAGGAAAATTGTTTACATCATCACATAAATGCAGCATTGCCAGTTCAACTTAGGAAGTCTATCAAGAGAACTGGTCTTGCAACTGTTGGTATTACGAATATTATGTTCTCTTAATATATGTTGGCTGTAGTCGCTTGCTGGAAGAAGTCTCGAAGGAATTACCACAATATTAACTAAACTAAACTAATTTTAAACTAAAATTGAACAAGTAATATTTTTATAGCATCCCTTGAAAACTTAATTGTTTTGCTTTAGAAATTCATAATGTGCTCATTAGATGGGCTGTATTTCTTTTTAAACATAAGTGATGAATTTATAATATTTGGCATAAAGAGGAAGATCCATTCAGGAATACCTTGCTGTCTAACAGACTGAAGTGTTCAGTTTTCTGAAGATCAAACCCTCATGTTAAATATTCTCTGCATTACTCTTTTGCTGTTTTCAACATTAGCTGTTCTGTAGAGTTAGGCACACCCACAATAGATCTTTTAGGGGGGCCCTGCATTCTAGATGCTATTTTGTAATTGAGAAAATATGGCAATAAATCATTGACCTGATGGGAAACTCTCTTTGCCACTTTTAAAAGAAAGGAATGTGCTGTGAACCCCTGAAGTTATTGCCAGCAATGAAGATTTTCAGGTTTTGGAGATCACTGCTCAAGATGCTCAGACTTTTAAATATATAAGTTCAGCCTATAATTTCTGAATTTTTATGAAGTTCCTATTGAAGGACAAATCATCCGTCTGTTGGAGCCCATCACAAATGCAGCCTAATTAGTCATCTGAACTTTCTGATCAGATTCTGTGATTGCCTTGAACATTAGAATTATGTGTATGTAGCTCAAACAGTTAAGCAGGCATACCATATCTGATATTGAAGATACAATAAAAGAATAAAATACAAAGTACATAGGCAGTTCAGCCCTTCAGGCC